AATTTTTTTTAGCTTCAAAAACATATAAAATTTTAGAAAACTAAAAAATATTTTAATAATAAACTTTTATATTATACAATTTTTAAACTTTAATTAATTAAAAGTTTTTTAATAAAATTAAAAAAGTTTCTTAACTTAGTTTGTAAAATAAACTTTTAAAAATATTTTTTACTTAGAAAAGATATTGCTAAAATTAATTGTTAAAATTTTATTATAGAAATTAATTTTTTAAAAAAAGATGCAGGCAAATTTGCATGTAATACAATTTAAGAGATAAGTTTCATTATTAATTCTACATCTTGTGTAATATTAAAAATGCTTACAAATTAAAAAAAATATATAATCTTTATTAAATAAATTCAAATATTGCTTTTTCTTTAAAAAGAATATACTACAAGAGTAATAGGTCAGACCCATTATGTTAACTTTTTTATGGTCTTATAAATTAGAAAAAAATGATTAACAAACTACACACTTAAAGATTTAGAAAAGGTTGGTTATTCAACTTTATTAAATAAATCAATCCAAAGAAGAATAATAAATTTAATTATCTCTTGTTGCTATTCTACTACTATTGAAATAAAGATCTATTTCAAAATAAATAACAATATCGAAATTTCAATTTTTACTATTTATCAAATATTTTGAACTATGGTTTAGTATCAGAAATAAAAAAAAACTTTATCTGAATAATAATCATTGAAAAATATAACTTTTATAAAAAATATGAAAAATGAACCATTGAAGCTTGGTCCAAATTAATTTGATCAGATGAGTTAAGGTTCTAAATTTTTGAGTTAGATAATAAGTAGTAATATCAAAAATATCATAAAAAATTATTAAATCAGTTTTATATTAAATTCACTATAAAATATGATGATGGATTAATTATTATTTGAGATTACTTTACTTCTCATAATATTTGTAGTTATTGTAAGGTTAATGGTATGATGAATATGGATCTGTACTTAAAAATACTTTATGAAGATTTGATATGGATGATTGAAGATCATAGATTTGAAGTTGATGAAATTGTTTTTTAACAAAATAGAACATCTTGTTATATGACAACCTTAACCAAATATTGACTTATTAGGAAGATAATAAAATTTTTTGACTGACCTCCCCAATCAGCCAATCTAAACCTGATCAAACACTTATGAAACAAAGTTGATCATCACCTTAAGGACCTCTCTGATTAAATTTCAAATGAAAAGGACCTCTGGGAAAAAATTCAGATGGTTTGACAAGCAATCAACATTAAAACCTGCATGAGGTTAATACGTTCAATGCCAGAACGAATCCGTGATGTAATTAGAACCCAGGGCAGCTACACCAGATGGTGATAGCTGAAAATTATTAGAAAAAAAAAATTTTTTTTTTATGTAAAAAAAAATTTTTTTATTTTACAATCGTGTTGCTATTAAAACGAGCAAAAATAATGCAACACGTAAATTGAAATAAAGCTCGTGCCCCCAAAAAATTTTGATCACTAAATTTTTAAATCTTTTTTATTAATGATAATATTGCTATTTGCGAATAAAATAAAAAAAAAATTTAACAAATACGCCCGGAATTGCGTGAGATAATACGATCCGACTAAATTTTTTTTTGTTGCATTATTTATGATCGCCAGTGTACTTGTCGGACAAGTTCTTGAGATTTGGGATTTGACCATGGGAGTTGGCCTAAGCGTAAATTGACTACATACAACAGTATGGTGTAATTATATGGGAGGTGACTATATGCAGATATGGAGGGATGACCATATCAAAGGCTTGTTATTACAAATTTTTTTCTTATATCAAGGGTTTCTTATATCTATATATCGAGTGGTGATAGGTTAGATCGATTAAATATTATTACTTAATGATATTTTATATCTTTTAACTTTTTTTGCGAGTAAATATCTTAATTTAGAACTCAATATACGTAATTCTAATCCCAATACCGGGAACGTAGTAAATGTAAATTACGAAATGCATGGTTAACTGCCATCTAAAATGACCCGTACCCACATGGATTTAATAAATAACGAATATGGATCCGATCCGCTAATACTAGTTCAAGTTTAGTTAGTTTTGCAAATCTACGAATTTTTATCGTTATGAAATTTTATTACTCATCCGGAAGGACAGGTTACAATTTCAGTATTGGCATTTAGACTATGCCCAATGTCCAATGAAAATTTTATTTGGGCATAGACATGAATAAAGATAAATAATTTACAACTTTCTCATGTCTTTTTGGTCAAAGTTTTTCGAATCGTTCGGAATTTTACTCTATTTTTAGTCTCGACTTTACTCATATTTCACGTACACCCGATGGTTTTCGTTCGGAATGTTTCGAAATTGTAAAGTACGTATGTCCAATGAAAAATATGACAATATGAATATAGTACGTGAATATCCATGTTTATTGACCCCTCAGAATGAATATGACTCATCGCAATATACGTACGTATGAAATCCCACTGTCTTATTACTATATTAGTATATAACTATAGATTACGTACGTATGTACAAATAAATTATATACATAATAATACGTATACGTATCGATATTACGTATAAGGTAGTTAGTAAAGTAGTACTGTATGTACGGACGTATGAAAATTGATTTTGATACGTAGTACGTACGGTTAACATAGGTTTGTAAAATAAGTTTATTATCCATTTGGCACAAGGATGTGACGAGCCATTGGGTGTAACTAATAAGCATTAGTTAATATAATTATTTAGCCAATACTTACTCGTCACACGATGATTCGTCACATCCTCATGCCAAATGAAAGAGGAGACCTAATCCTTTACAAGTAAACCCTTTTTTTATGTTTAGAGTTATGGCAAATGCGAGCATTATTCTTTTTTTCGTGTGAGGTTATAGGCAAATTAGCTTTGTTTCGAAAGAACGTACTATCATGATTTCCACATGTTCGTCCCAATTTGCGTTTCTGTACCGTACTAATTTACCATATACCCTATATTATATACTATGTAAACATTTTTTTACAGGGCAAGCGGGACAGAATTTATCGAATCTGGATTGGCATTACGACCGTTTTCAAAAATTGTACGTAGAAAGATGGACAGTTTTTCATATGGTTAAAACCTCGTCCAGAACTGTTTAAACTGTTTACAACTGTCCCATATCATGAGAAATTCCCGATATTCTCAAATTTCCAAAAAAGGCTAATTGAATCTTTACAAAAAGCTGTAGAAAGATATATAGATCACGATATTTCCCTAAGTTTTCAAGACCTGCTCTAATCGGATCTTTACAGTTGTTTTCACCGATTTCCACATACTCATGTGGGAAATCGAAGAATTTGGAAATTCTGATTAGTAAAAATTAAAGATCCAAATAAAGCCGGTCTTGAAAACTCCGAAAATCCGGGAATTCCCTATGGAATAGTGATCTTTCCACAACTTTTGAAAACAGCTGTAATTTTTACTAATCAGCATTTTTCTCACATATTTCTTTTAAAACAGCTGTAATTTTATCAAATTCTTCTATTCCTCATATTGGTATACTTCCACATCTTTTCGAGAACGGCTTTAAGCAAATTATTAGTATTTTGAATTAATTCCGACCGAAATTTTGGAGATCTTTCTGCATGAGTCAAACGTATATGTAACGTTAAACAAAAGGGATGTGACAAAAACAAAAAAATTTAGCATTGCCGTGACAGATAGGCAAATGTTTGTCAATCATATCAGTTTGACGTAATTATCGGAAACTTACGAAAATGTATAGGAAGAGTCATTTTAAGTTATTTATACCAATACGTACGAATATTCGATGCAGTATATAATTTCGGTTAATTCTTTCAATAAGTATTTAAATTGTGGTTTTTCCATTGATATAAAATAACGATAAATTGTTTTCATAGATCGTTAAAAATCGTTAAAATAATTGAAATCATAATTGTATCTTTGAAACATGTTTCGTTCAATAATCTCTCCAATAATTTTAACTTCTAAAAAAGTTATTACTTTCCCAGCATGTCATCATAAACTTATGATGGTTAAAGGACAAAATTCAATCAATTTCTTGTTCCTTAAATCCATCATTTCTCAACAATTTACAACCAATTCATTTAGAACTTTACAACAATCTTATGCAACTTTTAACTCACAAAATGGTAAAATTAATGAGGATAAGTTTGAGTCACATATCCCACCTGAAATATTATTGGACACACGTCATCCCGAACCAATTCGCCATGAAATCGTTGAATCTAAAAAACCATTGAAATCAAATGATCTTGAAAATATAGATGTTAAACTTCAATTCCATCGTATACCTGTTACCATAACTGATAAGATTGCTTATCAAGTTATTAAGTTGATAAGACTTCCTGTTGATTGGTTTTTTAAGAAAAAATACATTCATCGAGCTGTTATGTTGGAAACGGTAATCATAAAAATTATCATCAAAATATTTTTCATATACATACGCATATGTATATATAAATATTATTATTATTATTATTATTTATTTAGTAAAAATGATTTATCTTAATTACTTATTTAGATTGCTGGAGTTCCAGGTATGGTTGGAGGAACTATCCGTCACCTTCAATCTCTTAGACAATTGAAACATGATGGAGGTTGGATTCATCATTTACTTCATGAAGCTGAAAATGAACGGTAATTATTATTACTATAATCTTTGATTTATACTTGTGATATGATTTGTACAAAAACTCATTTTTTATATTCAACAGTATGCATTTGATGACTTGGATGCGTATCGCTCAACCTAATATGTGGGAACGTGCTTTAATTACTCTCGTTCAAGGTATCTTCTACAATGCATTCTTTTCTTTATACTTAATTAGTCCAAGAACCGCCCATCGTGTTGTTGGTTATCTTGAAGAAGAAGCCATAGTTAGTTATACCTCTTTTCTTAAAGGTATGTTGCATAAATTATTCTTTTCTCAAAATATTATGATTTACAAAACAAAAATCTCATTGTTTTTTTAAACAAAAAATTTTTCATAATTATTCAGAGATCGATGCGGGTAATATACCAAACACTAAAAACATTCCTGATATAGCTATTGATTATTGGCATCTTGATCGTGAAACTGCTACTTTACGAGATTTAGTTTTGGCAGTCCGTGCTGATGAAGCAGTTCATCGTGACACGAATCATCACTTTGCTGATCGAATTGTATTAGGTCGTGAAGATTTAAGAGAAGATATTAAAAATATAATTACTAATGAACCAAATCGATTTGGTGAGAAACTTGGAAAAATTGCTGGACTTAGTAAAGATGCTAATGAAAAATGGAAATGGAATAATTAATATTACATATTATCGGAAAAAAAAAGTTATATATAATTTATTAAAAGATGAATACAGGAAATTTTTCATTATTGGTTTTTTTTTTGTGAAACTCATTTTCTTTATGCCTTCTTAGTTTATTAGTTTTAGCAAATGTTTAATATATATGTAAAATTATTTTTATGATAAATAAGATAGATATAATTACCGCATCTTTTGCGTGTATTCGATACTTATCTAGTCCTAAAAAAATAAATGGCTCATCCTTAACAACTTTTTTGAATAAGTTAATATTTTTATAAAGTTGTGGTATTACGAAGATCTACATATGACTCTAACATAACCACCAAGATTATTTTTGATAACAAAATATGCTTTGTTTATGTTCAATAAGTTCAGCAAAGATTGAAAAAGTACAAGTTGTTAAAATAAAAATTATATACGAATTGATCAATCACAATTGAAATGCGATATATATATATGCATATTACAAGATACATATGATCTAATCTATACATTTATTTACTACGTATTTATATTTTTATATTAAGTTTTTTTTTATTAAAATATATATATATATATTAAAATAGATATTATTAATTCAAAGAACTTTGCGTTCACAATTAAAATTATCATGAAAAACAGTTAATCAATAGGCAGAGGATCAGATTTTTTTTAACATAAGGGTACCTTATATGATCCCTTTTCCTACAAAGATCTTAATGCATCATTCATCATTGACTTTAGGATATCATTATTATCCACTACATTCCATATATCTCGTTCTACATCGGGTGATAACTGAATTACACGATCAGCAGAACCACTACGAGAGCGCGTTATTTTAATTAGGCCGGCACTTTCAAGTCTTTGCACTGGCATTTCAAATTCACTCGAATTTACGGGTAGGTGATTTCTATTCCGGCAGAAACGTTGATATTCCGGAAATAACTAAAAGTGAAAAGATATTTTTTTAGATAATTAACAAATAAAATGTCATGTCAATTATTTGAACTAACCTCGCCGTAAGTAATCTTTTTCATTTTTTTCTTTTTCATTATAACCAACGTACAGATTATGAGCAGTTGAAGAAACGGTAAAGTATTAAGAGTTCGCATCATAGATGTGCCCGTGATATCTGAATTTGTGACTTGATTAATATGTGTAATCGTGACCATTGGTGAATTCGAATTATCAAGTTCTGATTTCTCTGTAGAGTCTTTCGTGTCTGAATTTAATATATTATCAATGTCTTCAGTCTCGGCAAGTTCAAAAGATTTTCTAAGAACATCTAACGCTTTTCTACAATCGCCGTTATTAGCCGCAACTCTTTTTGCGCACAATTCGATTGCTTTATCATCTACTAAGAAAGAATGTTCTTGTGAAGACGACGCAGCTTTAAGGCGGTCTTTAATAATATCTGCAATCTCGGAATTGTCGTATGGTGCAAAATTTAAAACTTGTGGTTGGCCTATTATAGTGAAATAACAATTATATTATATCATATCATACTTTTAAAAATAAACGCAAAATAAATAAAAAAATGTTACAAACAATCTTTGTCCTTGAGACGAGGAAGTGATTCCGTAAGTTTCGACATGTTTGATATTCCAATCAAAATCAACCGTGAAGTGTACACGAGTGTCCAATCAAATAATTTGTATAATATTTCTCGATCATTCGTTATGAGAGAATCGATTTCATCCAATATAACAATGCTATTAAGAAGAAAATTAGAAACTTTTTAAAAATTTATGAACTAATCATAGATATATAATTACTTACTACATGGCATTCTTTTTTGATTTTAAAAATAAATAGTTAAGAACTTCTTCGGGATTTTTCACGCCATTAGTGGCGACTTTTTGGTCCAATATATCTAGGATTGTCGCGTAAATCTTTTTCGGATCATTGAGGCTCATACAATTAATATTGACAAACTTGACAGAACATTTTGCTCTTTTTTCGATAGAATCTTTCATATCATTATAAATTTCGTTTACAAGAGCTGTTTTGCCAGTGCCGGGTATTCCATGAATAAAAAGACTTCCAGGTTTCTTTTCAATAATATGCTTTTCTAAAAATTCAGTGATTGTGTCTCTTTCTGTTTTACGACCCACAAGCTTTTTTGGAGTAGCAGATAAACGAAAAAAAGATTTTGCTTTTTCATAAACCTTTCCTGAAGTACTTGAAGTGCTTGAAGTGCCTGGTTTGGATGCTTTAAAAAAACCGCTTAAACGTGCACTTTTAGGTGTCGTATAAGTTGTTGTTGGGGGTTTAGGTTCAGGAGTTTTAACTTCGGTGATCTGTTGAGGAGCCTCAATATCTTCTTCAGTAGTTGAGCTTTTAAGTCTTTTTGATGTTCGTAAATTTTTCGAATTTTCCTCTTCGTCTGCAGGTACCTTTTTCGTGGTATTTTCGGAATTCTTTTGTGTCAAGTTTTTCAAATTTGGTCGCTTAGATTTTGTTTTCCTACGTCTTGGCGGCATAGCACCCAAAATAAAATTCAAAATATACAAAAAAAAAAAAATATAGAAAGACTACTATCGATAGAAGAGTGATTTGACGCGTCTACAGCTCGTGTATCGCTTTATATTGCTGTATTATCCAAATGTAGAAGTTACACGTTGATTATTCACATGAGTTACACTCACTGTGTGACAGAAGTTCTCTTAGCTATCTTTCAAACATTTTTCAAAGCAGTCACTATCATTACGCTATGACATAGAAACCGTACTACATACGTATGTTTGTATGTACGTGTCTTTGGGGGCATTTTTAATGATCTTTGACCAATAGTTTAGTTATACTTCTATACTTGATTATATGTGATCCTGCAATTACATGCTTTTGATCAGACTTGTACGTATTAAGATTTATCCCAAGTCAAACTCCTACTGGATCGCAAAGAAAAAGATAAGACATTTAAAAAAAAATATATATATATTAAAATTAAAAATCAATAAATTACGCGTAATTAATGATGATGAAATCTTAATCATACTCTACTTGCTACGTATTAAAAGATTGCATAATAAAATTAAGCGAAGGATATTTATAAGAAAACAGAAATTCTGAAAAATAAAAACCAGCTTGCAAAAGAAAATGGATACATATTACCAATATTTAATACTGAAATTTTTTTTACAGAAAATATCTATAATTCTGCAAATATTATCAATATCGAGCAAGATATCAAGTCATTACTTCAATGAAAACCACGTAAATAATAATCAAAGCAAAAATTTCTTTTAATAGAATATATCAAATGAATTATCTTTCTTTAAAACTTTATTTACTTTCAAAATAATTATTTTAACAATAAAGGAAATGAAATTAATCAAACAGTATTGTCAAATGAAATGATTCTAATTAACAAAAAAATATAATTACAAGTCAAAAAATACTAACAAAAATTAACAAATGAAGAAATATTCGTAAAACAATCATTATACAGTAATAAAAGAATTAAAAATAAAATCTATTTACTTGTCAAAAATCTAGAAGACTACGTATTCATAAATTAAATTCTTGATATACTTATACCATGATGACATTTCTTTTTATGGAATTATTGTGGATTTAGAATCTACTTGGACTGATTCCAAATAAACATAGGTTGTATAAACATATGTTGTAATAGAATTCTAAAATGACCCAAATCGTTAGAGAATTTCAATTCAACTTGTAACGAAACAAAGTGTATTTCAAATTATTTCATCGAATTAAATTTAAAAATATTATATGAAGTTTTTACATCTATGATTAGTGGGTTGACAGCTATTCTCATAGGGTACTTTCATTTTTTTACATTTACAATGAAATTGTATCTACTTATGAAGAAAGTTGCTTTTGAGCTACAGTAAAACTCTTTCAATAACGAACTTAAGATTCTGGAATAAAAAAAAAGTTCCTTATGGAAAATTAAAAGTTTTCTTAAAACTCATTGCATTTTTTATACCAAACTATTATAAAATTTCGACTGTACTATATAATTTTAATTTTGGAAACTCAACGGAGGAAATTAATTAGAATTCTACTAATTCTAATAATGCCAGATTTGCATCCAAATTTATATGTGTTATTCTACAAAACTTCGAGGATCTTGTAGGGAGGTATTTGCTGGATCGTTAAAATATTTATCTTGACAATTTATCATGACGATATGATGTAATTATTTAACTATCGTTACGAATCAAATTTAGAATCAACTTAATTTGCTTTCGTATCAACTTGGGCTACATTTGGAATTCCATTCCAACCTAAGTGGATTCTAATCTACAATTATTTAATTCCGACTTACAACATATATAATGATTTCTTTTTACAGCATCAATGATGTAGCAATTGAGCATTTCCTTTCAACTAATATTAAAGACCTAGTTTTTCGTTAATGGATAGATGCATTCATAGAATTTAAGGGTTGGGTTGATAGCCAAGCTTCTTTTTGGTAATATCGTATATTCATTAGTTTATCTAATTTATTGACATAATTAATGATATACCAATTCCTCTTCCGGAACCAGTAGATGCCTTAGATGAGCAGCAAATAGCTCTCTTAGCACTCTAAAGACTCTAGTCATATCAAATAACTACGCGACTAAAAAATAAAAAGTTTCGACAATATTTTTTAAGATAATAACTTTATTTATATAATGATTTTTTGACATTAATCCAGCATACAAAGCCTAGTCATTTTAATCTACCGTTTATTTTTCAGTTAATTCTAATAATAAATTTATAAAGTAAAAACGCGATTCACCCATTCCTTCATCATTATCGAACTTTTTTCATTATTTTCAACAGCATCTATAATTTGTTCTGGCAATAACAATGATCTCATCATTCTATATTGCTTTTGTTGAAATTTATTTTCATCAGCACATTGTAAAATTTTACGAGATTCCAAGAACTCGAATTCTGCGAGTGCAATATGTTCTTTACATATCTTCATTTTATATGTACCGCTTGATTCTCTCGCGTAACTTTTCATATAATTTTTGTATTCTTCATAAACCATTGTAAAATTAAAAGTTTTTGTTTGGAAACGAATATCTAATGAATTGATGGCAAGTAATAACCATAATTGATTTTGCGTAAGCCCTATAAAATTGTTCAAAAAATGTCAATTTTTATCAAGAGAAAATTGATTAAAAAAAACCTAAAATTTGTATTATTTTATATGTAATTTCAATAATTACCCTTTAGAATAATATCCATACTTCCACAGTCTTGCAAAGTTGATATTGAAAAATATTCAGGTAAAAGAAATGGGGAATCGGTGGTTAACTTGCAGACTGCATCAAACTTATTAAAAATAAAAGAACCATCTAAGAACTTGTTTCGATTTAAATGATTAATGTCACTGATTAAAAATCAAACTTACACATATTTTAAAAAAGCTTCTAATAAAGTCTGTTGAAAAATTAAATGTTTGAATTACGAGATTATAGAAAGATTCATCATCAAATAATTCCTAAAATATATCCAATAGTAAGATGAATAATTAGATTCTCAACAAAATTATAAAGTCACCTAATATATAAAAAAAATTACTTCTATCTTTTCATTGAAAGTTTGACAATATTCTGCATCATCAACTATTGTCTCATTTATCATCAAACAATTTTTAATAATTTCAATAAAACTTTCAATATTGCAAGGTCTATCTATGTCAATATGACAATAAGAATTTCGAGATAGGATGTTTTGAGCAAGTTCGTTGAATACACTCTAAATAAATGATGTATGATTATACCATTAACCGTAGAAAATGAAGATAAAATTTATTAATTTGACGTGTACATACCGCCTTTCGTGTAACTCCAATTATTGAAATTGGACAATTTTTGCTTGTTGCAATATTAAATATATTATACACAAATGGTTGACTGCAATTTTTCACGAATGCGTCAAAATTATAGATTATTATAAATATAGGCTTGGTGTTATTAGACCCAGATTTCAAAAGATTAAACACGTCTCCATCTGATCGCTGAAAATAATAATAATAATAATAATAATAATAATCAAGTTAGAAGAAACGTATAGAATTAATTATAAGCCAATAAGCCAAAAAGAATAATCTACTTACAAATCCCTTGAATTGTTGCTGTCCGAGTTGTGAACAAATTTGATAACGTACAAATTGATCTGAAGTATGTAATAATCCGTTCAGACTCACGCAATAAAAATCTTCATTGTATTTATCATTTAGCCCTTGTAAAGCTTTTTTAACCAACTTTGAAAAAAAATAATTTGTAAATTAACACGTATTGTATATGTAACGCGAATGTAGAAATGAAATGAACGGACAATATAATACCGCAGTTTTCCCACAGCCAGCTGGCCCAATAAGTATACAAGTATTACTTTCACCCGAAGATACAGTTCGGTTTATATAATTTAGCAATTCTCTAAAATTATTATTAACTATTTAATGATAATATTGGATTTAAACTCAGCTTGGAATTCAACTTACGTATATTGCTCGTCTAAGCCTACAAGTACATCAGGCACAGAGTGATCTGTTAATCTTTCTTTTAGTATTTGTCGTGTTTTTACGACGAAATCTTCTAAATAACTCTCGTAATTCATTTGAACGTGCGTTTACGCGTATGCATAGTACAAAAAATGGACTTTACCAAAAATGGGAGATCGCTAAAGCCTTGTATCCATGTGATCATGAATTTGATAAGAATTCGTTTTGATTGGCTATTTGTACACTACATACACAAGTATTGCTATTTCTCAGAATTTTGTTAATTACAATAATAAAACTACATTCGAAGTTCTAAATAAAAATGTTTCTTTGCAAATTTTAGCATAAATTATGACTTTCTCTAAGCTATAAAACTAATCTTACCCTAATATTAAATGGGGCTAATTTACTAAGAAAAGTTATTGGAAATGTTGTTCTTTAGTTCTTAAGATAAAAATATCGTTATATGTCATTTTATTGTAAAAGCGAATTTATATAAATTTATTATAGATTCTTGATATACAGTAAAAATAATAATTGGTAAAAATAAAATAAAATAAAAGTTACTGGCCACAAGTCGGGTTGTGGGCACGGGAAAATATTTGGGCATTATGCCTGGAGCATGCCCTAAGGATTGTCAAAAATTTTTTAACCAATATACGAATCTCAAGTAGATAAATTATGTAATTGCAATTCTTCAATGCATGCTAGATTAAAGTTCGTTTATGTCAAGATTAGGGTCAGAATTGCCTAGCAGAAACTTTTTATTAGAGCTTTAAAGATGATTTATTATACTAATTTTTGGAAAGTAAGCTATTTTTAACAAAACAGTCATTTTTCTTTGATTTTTTTTGATGTTATATTATGCCTAATATTAAAACTTGATTCATAGTTGAATTTATATGTAATAGCCAATCAAATCACTGTATAATAACTTGATAATCACATAACAGGAGCATGCCTTTTGGCTCAAAAGCATGTCCAATAATCCCGTACCCATAACCCTAGCCACAACTGAATTTTTATGACTGAAATTTATATCTTAACAGTAACAGTAACAATGAAACGTAATTTTTTAAATTCACAAAAATAAATGGAATTGTCTCAAAAGTCAATCGTTATATTACAGAAAACAAGAATATCACTTAGCCAATGTAGATTTTTTACCAGCGAAGGAGTCGTCAACTTCCATTCTGTCTTTTAACAAACTACCATTATTTCTATAACTTTTTTCACCTCTGTGAAGCTCTGTGTCATCAATCAAAGCCTCACTAGTGATTTCTATCATATAACTCTGAGATATGTACATTCTCTGACATATATGTTGTGTCTTGGATCAGTCAAACAATCAGCACCTGAGGTGCCTTAATTATCACCTGAGACAAAAATCAAATTGAGCCACAATATATACATTATAAAAACCTATTCTTTGTCTACAATTTAAAAAATTGTTAATTAAATGTTTAAGTAAAACATAATTTCTTAACAAAACCCACCAGTAGTTATAATGTCATAAATACTATATAATTATAATAATCATCAAAATAACTGTCTATTTTTTATTTGAATAGAAAATACTTTCAAGTTGCATAATGTTTTGAATAATTCCTATGTCTTTTTTGTCTCTTTTGGTCTCAATTATGCACACTAGTTCTTTTAAACTACTCATTATTTTACTTATTCTAAATGCATAATTAACTTCGTCTGATGCTTTTATACTAATAATTTTCTAATTCTGAATATAATCTGATTGGTTTCTTTGACAATTTATAGAAATTCTTGTAATATTAGATTGATATATTTAGAGTATGCAACCTCTTTATAACCTCTTAAAGGATCAATATTATCCATTCTACTTTTAATGTCATTTAAACACTATTAAAAAATATATATTATTATTATTGATCTTCACTATTTCTAAAAAAAAAATATTTAGTTTTGTTGAATTTTTAGACCAAAATTTTCTATTACAAGCTTACTCAGTTTAAAAGATGATAAGTTATAAATTTCAAATATTCCAAACTTGTTTAAAATGTTTTACCTTAGTTGTAAAATCTGAAAACATACTTAATTTTTTACTAATCTTTGGTGTAAAGTCTACAATTCTCATTACAGGTTCAAATAATATTCTTAAATTTTCAAGTCTTTCTTCAGTTAATTTAAGAAGCTTAGGACCTGAAAACTTCTATTCTTTAATAATATCTATGTATTTATCTCTCAAATCCAGTTTATTTTTTATAGATTGCAAATATTTAAAAATGTTTCCTTTCTTTCAATTTTTAACCTTTTCAATTAATAGAAGAATTTTTTTGTTTGAGAAAACGATCTAAATATGAACTTCTATGGATTGTAAGTTAGTGTCTTCAAAATATCATAGTTATACATGATGAAAAATAGAAACTTAAAATAGAGTAAAATTTTTACTAACATGTGATATATGACAAAATTCTTTAAATTCATTTATGTTTAGGTTAAAGTTCATGTTAGAGTTAATATTTAGAAGTTTTAATAATAAAATTAGTCAAAGAAAACTTTTTGTTAATGCATAGAAGTGGTTTTCTATATGATTTTTTTTTTTTGAATTATAATCGATTTTTGACTAAGCAAATATTTGTTTTTAAAGTTTTTTAATAATAGTTTATTATTGACTTATTTTTAGCAATCAGTAAAAAAATTAATAATAATTTTCTTAATGTTAAGTAAAAATGGGATTTTAAGTTAGGTTTAAGATATGCATGTTTTATATCAAAAATATCGATGATAATATGAAGTTAGAACCACTTTGCAAAAGTGTTAACAATAATAATAATAATAGTAAATTCATCTTTTTCCAATTATAGATCATATTATCACTTCTGATACATCATATTTTATAAAATAAATTAAAAAGCTTATTAATAATATTAAATCTAATAACTGTTATTTTAA